CTGTGGGAATGAGCTTCACAGCTTTTGTCAAAGTGGCATAATAAAGCCCCCAAATGTCTGCTCTTTGCAAAACTGGGGTGGCAGATCAATTGTGACATAAACAAAATAGCAGGTTTGGTGCACACCCGGGGACAGATGACACCTCTGCAGGGTGTGATTAGGGGAAGGAGGGGACTCATGGGGTGCCTGGGTTTGCCTTTTTTCTGGCTGAAGTTTCCATGCCCTCTCCCCAGCCAGCCTGGATACCCGAAGAGCTTAGAGTTCTGCTCCTTCATTCTGTAAAGTGTCTGCCGAGACGTCAGCTTTAGGCAAGAGTCCCCCTGCCTTCAGCAAGAAGCCTGAGTCCAGGTCTCTGTCTCCCCCAGAGCTCTGACCCTGCTGACATGGAGGGAGAAGGAGGTAGACTGTTACCCCTCACCTGGACAGTATGATCTGCAAGAAGGCAAAGGGTTCAGTAGTCAGACCTTAGGAAACAGGGTCATGAAAAGGACATTCGCACTGACTACCCCTGTGCGGTCACAGAGCCTCCTCCCCTGCCTTTCCCCTTCATTCTGGGCAGACAGTGCCACAGCCAGTCAAACATTTGGTCACTTGTGGCTGGAGTCACAGCCTGGAGAAGGCTCTAGGACACGTTCTGGCCCCATCACTATGTAGGGCAGTAGGGAACAGGAGTAGGACGTCCTGGCCTGGATCAAATCTGCTGGCAGCAGAAGGTAGAAGTCTGTACAAAACCTCTATGAAGGCAGCCCGGATACTCAGAGGCAAGAGCTCTGGTTTCCACCCTACCCCGAGCCTAGCACTCGGCCCCTGGTAAATGTTGGCCTGAACAATGAGTGAGTGGCTATGGTCTTCTGGCTGGATGCCTGGTATGGTAGGGTCATGCTCCTGCAAGAGAGGATGGCAGGTGCAGAAGCAGCTCTCATTCTGGGCTATATCATCTGGGAAAGAGGCAGATCCTCCACAAGAAACCCGGACTCCGAAGAGCCTGAGGCAGAAGCTGAGGACCCAGGCAGCGAAGAGTAGGGAGAAATCTGAAGGTGCTCCTACGAAGAGGGGCAGGTGGCCTTTGACATGGGGCAGGGGGCAGATGTAGGTCAGGTAGAGGCCTTCCTGTGGAGACCCCAAGGGGGCCCTGCCTGTGGGGAGTCAGCCAGACTATTAGCTGGAAGAGTTGGTCCCCTCTGGACCTCATTCCTCCTGCTGCCCCCAAGTCTGGGGTTTATAACCCAGCTGGTCTCAGCTGTGCTATGGGATGAAGGGCGATGAGTCTACCTGGGGGGGGGAGGGGACATAAAGGACAGAACAGGTGCCACTCTCCCCAGCCATGGTCAGTGGCAAGAGCACCACAGAGCACAGGTGACTGGGGGACAGACGCAGTGGCTGAGACCAGCCACTCTCTCACAAGAAAGGGTTCTCCTGGCTGCCAGATTTGCAGGACTGCAGTATGGCTTTGTAGGCGGTGCCCTGGGGTGCTCTGGGAAGACAGTTTGGGGTGGGGAAGGACTTGGACTTAGCGGTGGTGCCTGGCGACTGCTTAACCCCTTGACCTGTGGTTCCCTCTGTTGAAGGAGGTGCATCACCCTCACAGGGTGTTATGGAGACAAGAGAAGAGCCATTCCGTGGGCCCTTAGGGCTCCTTCACCACCGAGAACAAATCCAGGTGGGACCGGACTAAATGCAGGAACGCAGGAAATGGCTTTCTTCTAATCTGTTGTCTGAAAGCATTCCCTTCACATTCCTTAACATCTTGGGTACTTGCTAGTTTTCCAAACAGTTAGCTCTTTTTTTTTTTTTTTTTTTAAGTACCAAGATAGTTTTAAGCTTGAGACTCATTCAGATGTCTAATCACAGCTCAGCAGCCTGTGCCCCCAGCTCTGGTGGGGGGCGGGTGTTAGGGCTGTAATCGGTTTGCTCTTGGTCTTACATCAGGTGCTTCGGTCATCCTTTCTTAGCTCTTGCTGGTGGAGCTGCAGTGCCCACTGTCAGAACACATGTACCCTTTCATGAGGCCCTTGATGGATCTTTAGAGTCCTGTGCCTCCCCCCAGTGGGGACCACTGTCCTGCATCATTCCCTGAGTGGGCCATGCTCTCTCCATCTTGCCTCCTGTGACTACGTCCCATGCTGCCCCCAGGCCTCTGCCCTCAGTCTCTTGCTGCTAGCGCCACCTCCATCCAGCGGGCCGCCCTCTCTGGCAGAGTCTCCTCTAGTCTGGGTTTCTTCCTAAGCATCCACTTGACCCCCCTCTGTCCCATGCCTGATGAACAAGTCCCAGCAGTACAGACTGCTCCCACTGATGTCCCATCCTCGCCCCTTCCTCCCCTGCAGCCCAGGTGGGCAGCAGCTGCAGGGCCCTCCAGGCCAGAATCTCCCAGAACTATTACCACCTGGTCCTACTCCCATGGCCTGGGGCAGGGCCTGCCAGTGTCTACAGCTCAGTCAGCATTTTCGCCTGGACATTGGGGCACCAGGCTGTCCTCTGACTGCAGCCCCAGAAGGTCTCCTAACTACCTACCTCCTACCATCACCACTTGGTTTAGTGGTGAGCAGAGGATATCACAGGGGCCCTTAGTACTCCTTAACAACTTCATGACAATGGCCAATGACTCTTGATAAGTTTTAGCCTTTCAGTCCAGGGTGGGAGTAGGGAATAGTGTTGCTAGTTGTCAGACCGGTTTTGCGTTTTAGTAGCTCAACATCGATGTACATAGATGTCCTCTTTAGAATGGGGATAATATGCCACTTATCACTCAACTTTGAGACTTTAGCTGACAATTCTAAATAAAAAAAATCTCATTCAGCATTCTCTTAGTTAGGCAATATATTAATTTTTCAGTCTCAGAAATTTTATTTCTTTAGAAATTTAAGTAATCCCTCTATGCAACGTGTTGCTTTTCTACATGAGCAGAGTGTTATATATAATCGTCTACACACCAGGTTAGAAGTCAGGACTCAAGGATGGCATCTGTCCCCAACCAACTACAAATCATGTTCTCTCTGCTGCTTTTCCCCTACCTACACAGTGAAAGAGATCAGGACCCTTATAATTCTAACAGTATATATAGGGATTTTTTTTAAGTTCCTATTATTATGACAGTATAAAAAAAAAGAACATAAAACACAGCTTGACAAAGTATAAAATAACATTCATATAACTATACCATACCAGGTTAGCAGATCATCTACAGAACTCCAGGGTACCTCTGTATCCCCTCCCAGTCAGTAACTCCTGTCAATTCCAGAAGGAACCCCAATTCTGACTTAGTGAGGTCACTTCCTCTCTTTTCCTTATAATTTTATGAAGTATACATCCCTAAAAATAAAATGCCATTTCTTTTTGCATTTTATATACATGAAATAACAGTGTTATTTTGTATCCAACTTATTTTAATATTCTGTGAGATTCATCCATGTTGTTGCAAGTAGCATGAGTCATGCTTTTTCACAGCTATATAATATTCCTTTGTATAAGCAGAAAACAAATTAGTTCTGCTGTTGACACTGGGTTCTTAATTTATGCCTGTTGAGTGACACACATAATTCATATGTACATACATACATACATACACATACACATACTCCACATATAACCATATAGATACAGAGCTAATTTCTTTATGAACAGAGGAACTTGTTTCAAACACAGCAAATTCTGTCTACGAACTCCCTTACTATACTACTAGCTTAGTGTTTTCACTCTCTTTCGGCCAAATTCTAAATCTACGGACATAATCCATCTTCTTTAACTTGCATAAAATTTTCTCCTATATGGGTCATTAAGCATAAGATGACTATCATGTCAGACAATTGGTCATTTCCTCCAGGAAATCTAGAAAATGTTTATCATACCAAAATTTAAAGAATTACTCTGAAAAAGGTTTTTCTCTGGCCTTTTAAAGAAATATTCAAGTGAGACTAAATTCTTTTCCACCCCTTTCCCAGGGCTGGTCCTACCCCACTGGCAAAGCACATGTTGATCATGACATTAGTTTTAATTAAACAGGAATGAACTTTGGCTGCAGAGGTATTGAAAGGTACCAGGCTACTACTCAGATAAATGATCCATTTCAGACCCCAAAGAGCATTGAATCTTGCTGCCAAGAAATTAAATCCCCTGCTGGAATTGAGTCAGACAACAATGGGTCCCACAAAGAGAACGGAGGCCACAGCAGGCCGAGAGCTCAGGTTGAAGGGTTAGAGCTGCCTTCTGCACTGCCCTGGATGGCCCGGATGACCCGACCAGTGCACTGGCCGGGTACAAACCTTCTGCAGAACTTGACTGATAAAGAATCTCCTATAAACACTGCTTTGAACAAGTGCATAAGTTAAGAGTTGGAAGCAATTATCAGCTTCCCAGGATACAGCAGACCTCTCAGGACAAAAGCAACCCCAGATACATGGCAGCGCAGGACATGGCTGAGCCAGACTTTCCCTTGGCCATGAGCATGAGCAAGCATGGTGTGGTGTTGGGTAAGAAGCAGCTTGGCCAGTGGCAGGGCCACACCCTTTCTCAAGGTCACAGGCTCATTCTCACGGTATCCTTTTGTCAGAGACAAGAACCACTTGGACTGAGCACAATCTATATGGTCCCCAACAAGCCCAGATTCAAGATGAAGTTTTTAGGGGATTCTGTCCTAACAAGGCTATGCACACAGGTGTGCCACTGATTACGTTTAAAAAACAATTTGGGGGGTGGGGAGGAGCAGGACATCAAGTGATGAGTGCTTTGCGGCTGCAGGTGGTTTGCACCTAAGCAGCAGTTTGTTCTGTGATTTCTAGTAAGCTCTCCCCACCCACTGATTTACAGAGCTCCAAGAGGAGAGCCACATGGAATTCATCAGTGTCTGGTTGTCAGCGTCAGAACCTTGTCTAGTGCCACTAAGGAGAGAAATGGCCCTTCCCCTTCCCTCAAATGACAGCACTAGGGAGAGGAGCCACCCACCCTGCTGGGTAGGGGCTACCTGCCCAGCCAGGACTCGCTGATCCTTGTTGTCCCCACAGGTTTTGGCATGACCACCCCAGCAACCGTGGGCGGGAAGGCCTTCCTCATCGCCTATGGACTGTTCGGCTGCGCTGGGACCATCCTGTTCTTTAACCTCTTCCTGGAGCGCATCATCTCGCTGCTGGCCTTCATCATGCGCGCCTGCCGGGAACGCCAGCTGCGCCGCAGTGGCCTGCTGCCCGCCACCTTCCGCCCGGGCTCGGCGCTGTCCGAGGCCGACTGCTTGGCCGGCTGGAAGCCCTCCGTGTACCACGTGCTGCTGATCCTGGGCCTGTTCGCTGTGCTGCTGTCGTGCTGCGCCTCCGCCATGTACACGAGCGTGGAGGGATGGGACTACGTAGACTCGCTCTACTTCTGCTTCGTTACCTTCAGCACCATCGGCTTCGGGGACCTGGTAAGCAGCCAGCACGCCGCCTACCGGAACCAGGGGCTCTACCGCCTGGGCAACTTCCTCTTCATCCTGCTCGGCGTGTGCTGCATCTACTCGCTCTTCAATGTCATCTCCATCCTCATCAAGCAGGTGCTCAACTGGATGCTGCGGAAGCTGAGTTGCCGCTGCTGCGCGCACTGCTGCCCGGCGCCAGGCGCGCCCCTGGCCCGGCGCAACGCCATCACCCCGGGCTCCCGGCTGCGCCGCCGCCTGGCCGTGCTGGGCGCCGACCCCGCTGCCCGCGACAGCGACGCCGAGGGCCGCCGCCTGTCGGGCGAGCTCATCTCCATGCGCGACCTCACGGCCTCCAACAAGGTGTCGTTGGCGCTGCTGCAGAAGCAGCTGTCGGAGACCGCCAACGGCTACCCGCGCAGCGTGTGCGTCAACACGCGCCAGAACGGCTTCTCGGGTGGCGTGGGCGCGCTGGGCATCATGAACAACCGCCTGGCGGAGACCAGCGCCTCCAGGTAGACCACCTGCCCGGCGCCCCGCAGCGCCAGGGCCCCGCAGCAGGCTGGTGCCGCTGGGCGTGGTTTGCTTTCCTTCTCTCCGACGCTGGCGCTTTCTTAATCTTTATCCAATAAAATGAAGCCAAAAAAAAAAAATCCTTTTTAAAAGAAATACTGTTTGACCAGGACTGATGTTATCCAAGGCAGGTTTGGGGGGAGCCTTTCTCTGTAGGCCCCCTCACGGTGTATACCACCACGAAGAGAGTGCCATCTCTGGGTTTGCAGACAGGCACCAAGCCTTGTCCCCATGCACATAAGCAGCCGACAACCCCAAAGCATATGGTGCAACTTTTCATGGCTCTGAATTACCTTCGCAGCATTTAGAATCCTGGCCAGCCTAGCAGCTTCCTTCTGGTCGTCAGAAGTGATATAGTCACAGTTTTGACAGGTGGGGGTGGGGAGAGCCATATGTTGCCTCCCGGTGTATATATAGAACAGCCGCTACACACAGAGAATGGTGTAGTATTATGCAATGAGATGAAATTTAGCACCGATTTGCGGATTGCAGCAGTTCCCTAGACTTGAAATTGCAATGGTAAGGGGCTCAGCTGGGCTTTCTCAGCCTGGAGTTAGTCCACTTAGCACCACAGGGCAGCTACTTTTAATAAGGAAAACCAAGGGGCCAGCAGGGAGAAGAGCCCAGCTCTATCTCAGGGAGCTGATCTCTGATGTTTCAGGCATCTCTGAATATGCTCCTTTACTTATTTATTTTTCCCACCGGCATCACCCATGGGAGTGCTTTTCATTGACCAGGAAAATCTGAGTCTTCTCAAGCAAAATTTTTCTTTGTTGGTGTGCTTTTTTTTTTTTTTTTTTAAGCTCCCCTGGATCAGTTCAAGGTTTTCCCCTTTTAGTGAGCCTGAGGGTACTGAGTGCTCATCAGAAGCTCCTCATTCTCTTTCTCTGAACCAGGACTCTGCCAGCTACAGCCTGGGGCACCAGGTCCCATCACACCAAGCATCCAAAGTAGTCATTCTGCAGATGTGAAAGAACTTGACTCCTGAGGCCATGATGTGTTTGGGACATATTCTCAGGTCCTGCAATAATCAAATGAATTTATTTCCCCCACAAAGTCTGTATTGGGTGATGGTAGGCAGTTAGGAGGGACCTGATCAAACAGGTGAATGGAAGTACTTTTGGAATTAAACTTGTCTGTAGAAAATCTTCCCTGTCTGCCACCTCTGGGTCACTGGTCTAAAGGAAGGCGAGACCCTGCCTACATTGAAAGGAGAGCCCATTTGCCCATTTTCTCATCTATAAAGATGCCAATACAAAGGACAAATGCCAGAGTCTAGGCAGACAGTATGACCCACCAATATATACAGCTTTAGACAGGAAGTCTCAGAAAAGCACAGGACGCCTCACACCTTCTCCCTGGGAGGCTCTGAAAGCCATGAAATCTCCCTCCCTCCTGAAAGTGCAGGAAGCATATGTGCCTGGAACATGAACACACACTCACACACACACAGCATTAAGAGTCATGTGTGAATGTCAGCCTCCCTTTCCAGATCATGGCAGGAAAGAAAAAAATGAGTGGGATCTGAGTGACTTTCTAGCTAATTTGGGTAATTCCTAATTTGGATGGGGATTGGTTTTTAAACACAGGCCCTAATGTAGGGGTGAAGCCAGTGAGACAGAGTGACCAAGAGAGGTCAGTCTTGCTACATATGGAAGGCAAGCTTCCAGAGGGCCACATTTCCCAGCTTCACTGTGACTGCCAGTCAAGCCAGCCATGAGCAAGGCCCCTAGGGGCCCTGCCCCTTCTACCCTAAGAGAGGAACAAGCACTCTAGGCCTCTTCCAGGACCTAGAAATAAGTGTCAGGTAGAGCCTTTTGAAAGAAGGAAAGATTACAGTGTGAAGTAACTTGGGGATCTGAGTCATCCAAAGGGGGAAGTGACCCCCCATGGCAGAAATATCTAGACCCTGAAAATTTAATAGCAGGCAGAACAGCACCCAGTGCAGACTAAGTGAACCCCAGGAATAGTACAGGAGACTTAAAACCCAATGATCAAGGCTCCTTGAGGTAGAGGGTCAAAGGGGCTTGCAAGTGACCTCTGTGACCAGCGTCCAGGACTGCACAGCTGAATCCATGGGAGGGACAAGATCTGCCTCCAGAGGAAAAAAAACTCAAAGCCATCTTTGGCAGTCTTTCCTGCAGCAGTGCTTCCTAAAGTCTACCCTAAGTTGCTCACGCTGCAGCCCTAGCTGTTTTCACTTCTTTCCTACGCTTTGGCTTTGGAAGGTGGCAATTACTAGCAGATTGAGCAAGCTTCTGGGGAAATCTAAGCATGGTTTGGGTGGGGCAGGGAAGGGACTCTTTCCTTTCACCAACCTCTTAGAGAAGACCAGGCCTCCAAGGGACAATGGTAGCTCAGGATCCAGTGACTTACATGTACTGTTCCCTGTGTTGCACTGACCCCTGCCACCCTCATCTCAGCCCATTGTCATTGTTCACGTCAAGCCAAAAGGCTCAGTGCTTCAGATACTAGAAGCTGCCATCTGGGAAAAGTCAGCCTCCCAAGGTCAGGGGGACTTGCAGGATTCTCAGGCCTGGAGGTCTGGGACTGGTGGGGCCTAGACCAAAGGCCAAAGAGCTTCTTGACATCCTGCTTGAAAGTGAACATTGAGAGCCAGAACAGCTGGACAAGCAGGGAGAGGTCCTCTGGGAAGTGACACTGATAAGAATCCTACTTGTGCAGGTGCTTCTGAACCTCCTGCTAAGAAAGGCTCCCAGTGGGGGTTCCTGCTGAGTCACAGCAGGCAATACACTGGAGTCTGCAGACCCCAGGCTGCAGGAGTTGCTTTTTTTTTAAAAAAAAGATTATTTATGCATAAAGAACTGGGGTACAGGCAGAGGTACAGGGGCGGTGAGAGGATTCCCCAGAGACAGACTGCTGAGGGGAGCAGCAGCAGGTCAGAAGAGGTCTACTGCACCATGTGGGTCACCTCTGGGGCGGGGATCGAACTTGTACTGAAGTGGCTGCAGCCAGCTTGCAGTGCTGCATCCTAATCTGTTGCGCCACCAGGGAGGGCCAGGAGTTGTTTCTTAACCTGGGGGTTATCCTCACCACCTCATGGTGGGCTGTGGGGGGCCCTGTCAGTGCAGCAGGGGCTCTAAGAAGCACTTTTCATCAGCTGTGGCCACAAACAGGCCAGGTCTTGGCAAGCAGGCCTTCTCAAAGTTATGCAGGCAAATAAAGAAGCCACCACCCGTGGGATCCCCCTAGCTAAGGCCAGGGCTCTGAGGCCAGAGCCTCCAGGCTGGGTGAAGGAGTCAGAGGTTTAAGCAGTCTCAGGCCCTAGGTTTATGGAAAATGCCAGCAAGCCTGGACATTTGCCAGGGGCATTGTACATCTCAGTACTGTGTATACATACACACACACACATCAGCCTTACTAAGAGTGATTAGTGCTTTTCCCCAAGGAAAATTCCTAGTCTGAGCCACATCAAAAGAAGGAAAATTTCCCATTTTTAACTCCCTGGAGGGAGCTCGACGAGGGCCTGGAAAATTCCTTTCTGCCTTGGGAAAGTCTCATGCACACTTTGCATGCATTTGTGTTTTACACAGAAGCCAGCCATCAGGCCCAAGCCAAATCCTGGAAAGTAGCTGCTAAATTTACCCAGGCCCCTCAGATAGGCCACCACCTGCATGTTCTGGGGCGAGGGGGGCTGAGTCCCAAGGCCGAAGGAGAAGCTTCTGAGGAGCCCAGGCAGGCACGGCCCACATGTGCCGACACCACAGGAGCTGTGGGCCGTGTGGCTCTGTCTTACTGTAACTTTTTATAATATTAACTAACAAAAAGCACAATTCCACATGCACATTTCCAGAAGGCACCTCCAGATAGACTACTTAGGGCCCTCTGAGTCCGGAAGGGGACCGGGGCTTCTTTCTTCATTGTATAACGTGTGCTGTTGCCGCTGACGGTTCCACATTGTGGAGCGAGAGGGGGCGCGGAGAGCTGCTGACCACTCTTGACTCTCCAATGGCTCATCAGCGTGGACTCAGGGCCTGGACTTGAGCCCGTGGAGCAGCCCTGACACCTTCAGCACCCCACGCGTGGCCTAGCACCCAGCCAGTCTCTTGTGCATAGAAGAAAAGCAATGAGATTTCTGTATTGACCTGGCCCAACACCCTATTCTCCTTCCTCTCAGCCTCTCCCCCGCCTCCCTCCCACCCTTCCTCCCCAGGGACGCTCCCCTTTGCTTTACAAATCATTTTCTATGCTCTGTGTTCTCTCAGGAGGGGTAGAGCATGTGGGGTAAGCCTGCAGTTTCCTAAACAATACATTTATTTTTCTGAGCAGCACTCGGAGACAGGACTTGAAGGGTGTTTAAACTAACGATGAATAAAATGCAGCCTGCCACCCCTCTGAGCTGTTTGCTTTCTGTCTGTCAGAGCCGCCTGCCCCTCCCCCATCTCCTTGCTCACACCGTAGCCTCTCTGGGGGGGGGGGGGTCCCAGATTTCAGCTTTGGGATTGGCCCAGGAGCTCCTCCCAAGAGGAGCTGCTCTGCAAGAGTGACACCCTCTGAGTCGGGGCGCCGCTGGACCTGGCAGGTAGCTTGGCCAGACTGGGCCAAGGCCAGTTTCTTGGGTTCATCTGAGGAAGGGCAGAGGAAGGCAGGGTGTGGAGGAAGCCACCTAGCTGTGGGCAAGGTTTCCAGACTGACCATACACTAGGCTCTCCAACAGGGGCTTTAAGGGGTACCGAGGCCGGGCCAGCCCTTGTCCCAACCCTGTCCTGATTTCAGACGTGGGAGGAGGAGCTCAGAGAGGCCCTAGAACAGTTTGGAAGCTGCCAGGTGGCTCTAATGGGGGCAGGCCTTGAGCCTGGATATTCACATTGCTCAGGGGGGAAAGATGCTACCAGTCTGAATTCAGTTCTGCGTCTAATAGTCATCCTATTTGCTCAGATCATCTGCTTTCCCGTCCCTAAAATGGAATAATGTTATTCCCTATCCCACCTCCCACCTCCCACTTCCTGGGGGCCTTATTTTGTCCTTTTCCTTCAAGTAATCAGAGAGATGAGAAGTGATTGACAGGTGCCTCAAGTACAGAGCTGGCCACCTCAAATTACAAAATCACTCTCTAGCTTCCCTCC